TTAATTCTTTAATTCTTTAATTCTTTAATTCTTTAATTCTTTAATTCTTTAATTCTTTAATTCTTTAATTCTTTAATATCGTATCATCACTGTTCTATATTATATTTTATATATATAAATTTATATGCGAAGGATAAATTATAAATATATGTAGGTAATTGTTGAATGTTAGATGATTAAGCTAGCACAATATTAGTAGTGTTCATAAAGTAGGTTATAACTATTTTTGATAAGGATTAACTTCTATTTGAGCTATTAATTGAGCTTGTTCATACTCATTTTTTAATTGCTCTAAATTACCGGTATTAAGGGCTTGCATCGGAGTTAAATGTTTAGTATCTCTTAATCAAAGAATAAACTCACAATCTTGGGTAGGGTTTAAATCAGGAATTACACTAAATCAGTCTTTTACTTCTGAGTAGGTGAAGTGGTGGGTTCAGTGGTTTATTAGAGTGGGGTTGGTAAAACGTGGATGGAGAAAAGGTCAGTCTTCTTCTATTTCCATTGGTTCGGACTGATATTTTGATTGTTCAATTACTCTAGACAATTTAGTCCCTTTTTCACTAGATAGTTCAGTTTGGGAAGAAACTGATAGCTGTCTTTTGGTTCTTATTTCTGTGGAGGTTATAATTTTCTCTTTCTTCTTTTGTTCGTACTGTTTTTCAGAAATATTAAGCTCTCCAATATCAATGTCAAACTCAGTAGAATCATTTAAATTATAAAATTGCTCATTAATTTCTTTACTGTTTTGAGGTTGGGGGAGGTTTTTAAAGTCTAATAAGCGACTAGTATAAATAGCTTGAGGATGGGTTTGAAGAAGAGTAGCATTATTAACTTTATTCACCAATGATTGATTAAATTCTCCTTTAACCTCCAAATACTGTCGAAAAAATTCTTTATTCTTTTCATATTTAATTTCTTTCCATCAATCACCTAAAATTTTATGTGCTTCACTGGCAGTGGGACGTGCTGAGGGATCAGCATTTCAGCATCTTTTAATTAAATCTGCTAATAACTGCGGTATTTTAACATCGTTTAAGTTGGAGCGTAGCCCTAGACATATTTGAACCGCTAGGGAGTCGTCATGAGATTGATCATAATAAGGGGGCAAGCCAGAAAGTATTTCCGCAGCCACTATTCCAAAGGAATAAACATCAGCAGCTTGCGTATACTGACCTCCGCGAAGCACTTCTGGTGCTACATAAGGCAATACTCCATAAATTTCATCATCATCAGTGGCACTGACTGGTCGGCATAAGCCTAAATCAGTAATGTAGCAACTATTACTAAAAGAAAAATTATCAATGTATTTATTTTTCAATATGTTACCCGAATGAAAGTCTTTATGAACTAACCCTTTTTCATGAATTTTTTTTAATCCTAGTGTAATATCTTTCAATTGATAGAGTTTATTTTCAAGATACAATCAATCATTGTTCAAATATTTTCTCAAATCACCACCTCCTATACACTCCATTACCATCACATAATTCTTAGTTTCCGGATGTTGAGAAATACCATAACATGGCACAATAATGTCGCTATAATCACTATTGCTAAGCAATTTGTGATTGGTAATCTCTTGCAAAAAATCAGTGGTCATATTTTGAGAAATGCTTAAAATTTTTAGAGCGACCCCATCGTGCTTTGATCCCAAACCAAAAAGTTGATTACTCCTTTCCCACCCTTTATTTCAACGATGAATGTGTCCGTCAGTTCATTCCGCTTTATATACCTTACCAAAACCTCCTTCGGCGAGATATTCAATATTAGTAAACTGATAATAAGGTATTCATTCTAATACTTCTTCATGCTTACCCGCACTTAGCTGGTATCTCTGAATAAATTTATCAATTTCCGGATTATCACTAGTTCAGTTTTTAAAGTCTTGAGCAAAGTGTCGAGCATTACAAGATCGACATCAATCATAATAAGTTTTTGGTTGTTGACATTCCTCGCATAATCCATATCTTTTATATCTTTCTCTTAATTCTGTATTTGTTATTAATTTCTTAATTAATAATTTTTGTTCAGTAGTTAAATTATCGCGAACAAAATCTTCTATTTGGTTAATTACTTCGGTACTGAGTTGAGAATTCATAAATTCTTTTCTCAAATCTGATTCATTGCCAGCACTTAAAACTTGCTCAGGAGCTTGTTTTTTTTGGTATCTTAAAAAAGCAGAAAAATTAGCCTCTTGAGGTCTTAGCCCAATATTCATTCACTCCTTGCACTCTTCCGCATTAAATCCTTTTTCCTCCCACTCTTTTTTTAGTTCTTCGGTAAATTCCGAACTTATATTTTTTCAAGGTATTAAGTTATACTCTTTATAATCTTTTTTTAACTCATTTAGTTTATTCCCTACTTGCTGAAGATTAAGTTTTTTAACATCTCTTAGTCAAACAATAAAATCAAAATCATCAATTTTGGCTCCCGCATTTACTCATTCTTTGACTTTCTCA